CTTGGTCTCTAGAATTGGACTATTTTTTTTTTTTTTTAAAGATTTTATTTATTTATTTGACAGAGAGAGATACAACGAGAGAGGGAACACAAGCAGGGGGAAGTGGGAGAGGCAGAAGCAGGCTTCCTGCGGAGCAGGGAGCCCTATGTGGGGCTTGATGCGGGCTCGATCCCAGGACCCTGGGATCATGACCTGAGCTGAAGGCAGATGTTTAACGACTGAGCCACCCAGGCGCCCCTCTTTTTTTCAAAAGTAATACATGTTCTAGGAAGAAAACTGGGAAAACATTCCAAAGTACAAACCACAGATCCCCCAGTCAGCTGTAAATGCATTGCTGAGATTCACCCAAATGTTATATCAGGCATGATACCCTCCAGGTTTTTATATCTATAGTCATACATGCATGTAATTTTAAGATGTAATCATACATAAACATAATTCCAAAATTTCCTTACTATTTTAGCCTGATTTTTTTTCCATTTAGCAATAGATCATGAACATTCACTTGCATTACTATTCTTCATAAACATTATTCTAAATGGCTTCATATTTCATCTTATGGATATACCATTATTATGGTTAACTATTTGCATATTGTTGGCCATTTAGAAGGTTATAATTTTTCCTCTTATGAACAGTATTGACCTGTACATCCCTGTATATGCATCCTTGACTATGGGTCTGATTATTTCCTTTGAACAACTTCCTCAGAGTTGAATTGCTGGATCAAAGGGTTTGCACTTTAATGTTCTTCTGATTCATTTGCTTATTTATTCTTTTTTTTTTTTAAGATTTTATTTATTTATTTATTTGACAGAGAGAGACACAGCAAGAGAGGGAACACAAGCAGGGGGAGTGGGAGAGGGAGAAGCAGGCTTCCCGCTGAGCAGGGAGCCCCATGCAGGGCTCGATCCCAGGACCCTGGGATCATGACCTGAGCCGAAGGCAGACGCTTAACGACTGAGCCACCCAGGCGCCCCATGCTTATTTATTCTTTATGAAAACTATTTTTCAGAGCAGTTTTAGGTTCATAGCAAAATTGAGAGGATGGTACAGAGATTTTCCATATACTCCCTGCCTCCACACCTGCATAGCTTCCCTTACCTTCAAGTTTCCCCACCAGATGGTACATTTGTTGCAACTGAGGAACTTATACTGAACATCATCATCCCCAAAGTCCATAGCTTACATTATAGTTCACTCTTGGTGGTGTGGATTCTATGCATTTGGACAAATGAATAAGGACATGTATCCATCGTTATGGTACCAGAGTATTTTCACTGCCCTAAAAATCCTCCATGCTCTGCCTATTCATCACTCTCACCATACCCCAAAACCCTGGCAAACCACTGCTCTTTTTACTGTCTCCATAGTTCTGTCTTTTCCAGAATGTCTCATAGTTGGAATCACACAGTATGTAGCCTTTTTTCTTTTTAAAATTTTATTTATTTACTTACCATAAAGATTTTATTTGACAGTGAGAGAGAGAGGGAGAGAGTGTGTGCAAGCTGGGGGAGTGGCAAGCAGAGAGGGAGAAGCAGACTTCCCCCTGAGCAGGGAGCCTGGACTGAAGCGGGACTCTGATCCCAGGACCCTGGGATCATGACCCGAGCTGAAGGTAGACGCTTAATCGACTGAGCCACCCAGGCGTCCCTTAATTAATTTATTTATTTTAGAGAGAGGGGAGGGGCAGAGAGTCTTAAGCAGAATCCACGCTGAGTGCAGAGCCCAATGGGGGGCTCAATCCCACAACAGGGCCCCAAGCAGGCTCCATCTCACGATCTGAGCTCAGTGGCTGAGCTGAAACCAAGAGTCCCACGCTTAACCGACTGTGCCACCCAGGTGCCCCATACATAGCCTTTTCAAATCGGTTTCTTTCACTTAATAATATGCCTTGAAGTTTCCTCCATGTCTTTTCATGGCTTGATAGTCATTTCTTTTTAGCTCTGAATAATATTACATTGCCTGGATGGACCTCAGTTTATCCATTCACGTACAAAAGGGCATCCTGGTTACTTCCAAGTTGTGGAAATTATGAATAAAGCTGCTATAAACATCTCTGTGCATGGTTTTGGTTTTTTTTTTTTCTTTTGGTGGACATACATACATTTTCAAGTCCTTTGATACCAATGAGTGCTTTTATTTTTTTTTTTTAAGATTTTATTTATTTATTTGACAGAGACACAGCGAGAGAGGGAACACAAGCCGGGGGAGTGGGAGAGGGAGAAGCAGGCTTCCTGCTGAGCAGGGAGCCTGATGTGGGGCTCAAACCATGACCTTGGGATCATGACCTGAGCCGAAGGCAGACGCTTAACAACTGAGCCACCCAGGCGCCCCATTGAGTCCTTTTTTTTAATTATAAAAGCAATACAAAGATAGCAATCTTCACCTCAACCATACAGACCGGTCCCACTCTGCATAGCAACTCGCATTAAAAATTTGGAATGTGTTCTCCTACACATTTTTCTCTACATACATAGTTCTTTCCTTTCTTGTTTTAATAAAAATGGGACGGCGTGCATATTTTTAAGGTGCACGTCAATCAGTGTTGAATATTGGTGGAATATAACAGTTTCAACCCCACTAGGGAGCATTTACTAAGTGTTAGATGCTGGGCACTAAGCATTGTGACCGGTGCTTTATTTTCATCAGGTTTTGAGTGCTTACTGAGTACTAGACATTTTGGTAAATATGAAACACCTACCGTGAGGCGCTACCCAGTGCTTATGAACAAGTGTGCACTGTGCCAGATTTTTGCATATATCTCATTTAAATACGAAAGCAGGGAGTGAACCTCCATGTTCTGCCTAGGGTGGGGGTTCTGCCCCCCTGCAAGGGGTGCATACCTGAGTAGGTAGAGGAGGGGAGGCGGAGTCTTCTTCTCCCGGTGGACTGCAGACCCAGGGCGCCCCCGAACGTCTAGGGGTAGGAGAAGGAAAGGTCAGTCTGAGGACAAGACCGAGTGAAAGGCAGGGCAGAGGTCCAGCAGACCGATTAGCCCCGGGCCGCCCTGGGTGGGCGGGGCCAAGTGGCTGGGCGGAGCCTGTATTGTCCGCTCCGCGGGGCATGCCGGGAGCCCCGCCCCCAACATGGCGTCTCACTGACAGTTGGCTGCTGAGCGGCAGAGGCGGGTCCTGCTCCTCGGCGGCGGCGGTGGTGGCGGGGCCGGGGTCTCAGGGGCCGGGGGTGGGGGGATGGCGGCTCGGACCGCCTAGGGCGGAGCTGCACAGGCGAGGCTGCGAGCGGGGCGCTGCAGGCGGGCGCGGCGGCTGCTGCTATGGACTGGTGATCGCGGCGTCTCCTGCTCGCGTCTCCCCCGGGCCGGGCGGCTGCTCCTCACCGTCAACCCCTCAGCCGGGGCCATGGGCTCGTCTGCGGCCGCGGCAGCTGCGGCGGCGGCGGCCGCGGACTCGGCGCAGTGGCTCTCAGTGAAGGAGGAGACCATCTTCCTGCACGACGGGCTGATCCGGGTCACCGACCTGGCCGAGCTGCCCAGCGAGATCCTCGGGGCCCCGGAGGCCGCCGACACCGACTTGGAGGTGAGCGAGGCTGCTCCCCGGCGTCTGCCAGCAGATTAGCCCACCCGCCCCGCATCCCCGGGGTCGGGCCATCACATTTCTGCCTCACCCCCGCCCCGAGACCCCCCCGAAGACTGCCCCGGCAGGTGTGTGGGCGCGGGGAGGACAGGTGGGGGGCCTCGGCTGCAGGTCCGCAGCCCGCCCGCCTCCCTGTCTCCTCGGGGCCTCAAGCCCGCCGGGTATTGCATTTGTGGTTTCATTCTGAGCGTTCTGACACCCGGCATTTTATTAGACTATCACCCGGCACGGCCTTCACGCCCTGGAAGAGCCACCGTCGCCTCCCAGGCTCTGTCTCCCCTCTCCCATGGACCTCCTGGACTCACTTCCAGGGCACACCCAGGTTGCTTAGTTTTGGGGACATTTTAATATTAACGCTGTATACCTCCCCCTTTCTTATTCCCAGTTCTATGTTGATTTTTCTTTCCCCCGGGGGAGGGTATTGGCAGCTGTCGATCCGTGATGGGCAATCCAGCAACTTCTCTGTGTCGTGCCTCGGATTGACACGGGCCTTTGTCAGGGAAGCGGGCAGTGTGGACAGCGAGGGTGATGCTACAGGGGCCCTCCGTGCGCTCTCCGCAAAGGGTCACGGGCGCTTTAGGCCTCAAGGCCTTTTTCGTGAGCTCGGGGGTCTCCGAGAAGCAGAAGCTCAGGAACTGTGGCAGGTGCAAAAGGAAATCTCCGTTTTTGTGTTGCTGCTGGGTTTGGGGGCAGAAGGAAACCAAATATGCTGGGTTGATGAGAACTTTCCACCGACTTCACTTGGTTTCGTGTTTGCCCAGAGGTGGGAATACTGGCAGTATCATTTCATCGAGGCCAGCCGATGCTGACGCTGCACCCCCTCCACTTCGTGGGGTGATATTTTGATGTGTATGTAGCACGGGGTGTCATGAAATTCTTGCTGTCGCAAGGAGGACTCTCTGGGGTAGGGCGCAGAGAGGATGGCCTGTCTTCTGGCTAAAAACGGAATGCGAAGAATCTTTCGTGTTTTGCGGTTTTGCATGCACTTCGGTTTTCAAAACAAGGAACGTTTATAGAAATGTATTAAAACCCATTACTGTGTGTTTCTGGAAACGGTAGTGATCAGATCGCGTTGGCCAAGATGTTTGGGTGTGCTTGAGATGTGAATGCGTTCCACTGTGTTTTGTGTCTGGATTTGAGGTTGAGGTTGCAGCATTCCCATTGTGAACTCTTAATTGACTTATTTTACAGTCTGGCCACCGAAAAGGGAAGATACCAGTTGATAGGGAATTCCTAACATAGGATTATGGTTTTCTTGTGTCTCATTTGGGCCTATTCTAGAAAAAGCAAGTGTCTGAGTGTCTTACCAGCTTGAAAGCTCAAAGGGTATTATGCTATGATGGTGGAATCTTTTTATTTAATTGACTTTGTTGAATGTGAAATGTGGGAAGTGGATGCTCTTTGTTTCTTAGAGACTAAGTTCACAGATCCTAAAATTTTGTATGTATGTAATATATTTATTTTTAGGATTAAAAAGGTAGGAGTGGTTAAAAATACCTGAGCTCTTAGGTTGGCTTTCCTAAGATGTTTACTGCATAAATGTATTGAGTATTTGTCAGCTCTTTCCACAGAAGAATGATCTTAAAGAAAACCTCCCTGGCTTGGTAGATTTTTAAAAACTCTTGAAGAAAATGTATGTTCTGACCTTTCAGAAACCAGTATGTGTATGGGTAATAAATATGACTGTCAGTGGTGAAGAACTTTTTTCATTTCTTTCCATATGTTATATAGGCTATATTGTATCAGTAGAAATGGATAGCTAAGAATGTTTTGTGGCTGTTAGATTTGTGTTTGCAAGGGTGTATTCACATTTAGTTATTTAATAATAATATTGATTAAGTATATCCTGTGTGTCAGACATCATCTTACTAAGTTCCTAAAAGGATCCAAGTAGCTAACTACTGTTACCTATTGTAACAACTATAAATATTGCACCCATTGTGCAGATGAGGCAAGCAAAATGCAGAGTTAAGTATGTGACTTGCTCAAGATCACACACAGAGAGCCTGGACATTAACCCAAGTCTATTGGTCCCTAACACATCTCCTTCTGATCATAATATCCTCCTTGCATGTATGATACTCATATTTGTAATTATCTAAAATTTCGTAACTGGCTAAAGATAGGGTAATAAACAGGTATTTTTATGTCCTTTCTAGTATTCTTTTTCATGTTTGAGGAAGATTAGAGGTTCATCAGCTTTTTAATTTATTTATTTGTGTTTATTTATTTATTTATTTTTGCTTTTTCATTATATCTGCATTTTTCTTTGATTTTTAAAAATTTTTTTATGTTATATTAGTCACCATACAATACATCATTAGTTTTTGATGTGGTGATCCATGATTCATTGTTTTTGAATAACACCCAGTCATCAGCTTTTTTAAAAAACTAACTTTTGAGGGGCACCTGGGTGGCTCAGTCAGTAAGCGTCTGCCTTCGGCTCAGGTCATGATCCTGGTGTCCCAGGATGGAGCCCCGCATCGGGCTCCCTGCTCAGCTGGGAGTCTGCTTCTCCCTCTCCCACTCCCCCTGCTCATGTTCTCTCTCTCTCTCTCTCCCTCTCTCTCAAATAAATAAATAAAATCTTTAAAATAAATAAATAAAAAACTGTTGAAATGCTGCCACCCCTATGAGGTACATTCTTCTAAGCCTCTCCTTCCAGTGGACATCTAGCTAACCAATGGCCATTTTTTCTTTTTTCTTTTTTTTTTTTTAAAGATTTTATTTATTTGACAGAGAGAGACACAGCGAGAGAAGGAACACAAGCAGAGGGAGTGGGTAAGGGAGAAGCAGGCTTCCCGCCGAGCAGGGAGCCCGATGCGGGGCTCGATCCCAGGACCCTGGGATCATGACCTGAGCCGAAGGCAGACGCTTAACGACTGAGCCACCCAGGCGCCCTTATGGCCATTTTTTCATAGTGTTTTCTAGTTAGATAGAATCCTTCAGTTGACAGTTTTGGATTAGGACAAATTTGGATTAAGCTGACTAATTTATGATTGACAACCTTAATGCATAAGTGTGCACTAACTGCAGTAGAGTCTCAGAATTTTAGAGCAAGAAGGGGCCTTGGAGATAATCACTTTCCTCATTTTAGAGAGAAGTTGTCTGAGATCAGGAGAGGTTATGACTCGGTAGTGAAGCTAGTTATGGCAGGACAGACGACTAGATCCTGGCTTTCCTGCCTTTGAATTCCAGTGTTCTTTTCACTTTGTAAGTGCTGCTCAAAGTTAAATGTCAATTTGAAAAAAGAACCCATCCTACGAAGTGGATCAACATTGACTTAGCATTTTAATTTAAGCACTAGCACAGCATTTGAATTAAAAATTTTCTTCCTAGTGAATTTTAAACAGAAGTGTTTTTTTAAAGTTTATTTATTTATTTATTTTAGTAATCTCTACACCCAAGGTTGGGTTTGAACTCATGACCCTGAGATCAAGAATCACATGCTCTTCTGACTGAGCAGCCAAGCCCCTCAGAATTTA